TCCTGTGGGCAATGGAAAATAAGTTTTACACTTGGAAAATAAAATAGTAATAACCACATGGTAAAACTCCACATGTATGCGATAAATCAAACTTATCATCAGTCTTATACCATTCACACCTGAAATTTGCCCATAAATCCACATCATTTGAGACTTATTTAATGTTTCTTCTAAAGGTGCCCTGGAGCTAGAGATTCAATTTACCTAAGAACTGACAAGGGTGAAGAAATAAAAACATGTTTCCTTCTTTCCCTACAAAATGTGCAACTTCCTCGTCAAATACACACTAGTTTGAGTCCTGAGATGGGAACTCTTCCATCCGTGATCTGTTCACATTTTGACTTTTGATATTTTGCAAACATGAAGCAATAAGAAGCTAGAAAGGGAATCTGGAGAAAGAAAGTATTTCCCAGGTTATCTAATATAATATACAGCACTGCCAGTTAATTCTACTAGGACTAGTATACATATTTATGACTGAAGTATAATTCAGGCAAATCTAATACATGCATTTTTATGTATGTATTTAAACACATATATAAATACATATGCATTTAAAATTTTCCCAGTTTGCAAGGCCTTACTAGTTTTTCACGTATTTTATATTTACAAGAGGTGGTGACGCTTTGCTTTCAACAGGTGCCTCTCACTGTGCCAATCCAAATAAAATTATCCTCGGTTTTCCAAGTCTGCTGGTAAAAGACCAAGACTACTTTGAAATACTACGTGAATGAAAACACAAATGGGTAGGAGAAGAGCATGAACAGAGTAATAAGCAGTAAAGGGTTTTGGTTGCTGACCATACTAGTAATGAATAGGACTGAGGAAAATGAACAGACCATCCCTCACGCTACCTCACTGGAAATACAGAGTAGGTAGGGTGGTATGCTGAAATCATAATTTCTTTGCAGTCCCATTTTTCCATACTTCTAGAATACGTGTTGTGCTTTGAAAGAAAAGACATCAGATGGTAGAACTAGATGATCTTCATAGGTCCTTTCCGATCTTAACCATTCTGCAATCCTGGTCTACAATGTCATTGCCAAAAAAAATGGTGCCATTTTCAAAAAGGCACCATACAACAGGTAAACCTGGAATTCCCCACCAAAAGGTACAGGAAAATGCGTGCTAAAAACACGCATTATGCTTTAATGTACACATCACTGAGGAAAGTTGTCACCCTTGCTGTTCTGCAGTGAGTCCATATAAAGTGTACAAGAACATTTCTTAGTCTATGCCAGGCTCACTAGCAAGTGCTTGAAAGAAGCAGGCTAACGTGAGACACCATTTGGTTCCCACGAGCTGCCATCCTTCCTCCAGGGCTCTGAAGACCCCAGGACTTAAACAGCTGGTCCTTTCATTTTCTTTTTTGATGCTTTATCATAGCAGTGAGGCAGCAGATTGCTTATATCATTTTTCTCGGACTCTTTTTAAAGTGTGAATGAGCATGTGTGTATGTTAAAGTGATAACATAAGGCTAAGCCACATTTCTAGTAAATATTACTTTAAATTATCCCGGAATGTAAAAGTGCACTTGTGCAAAACTAGCTGCCCAAAAAGGGAAGCAGAGCTGTAAACCATCCTGCCTGCAAGTTGAGCATGTTGGCAGGAGAGTCACTGTATAAGGGCATGTTTACAGGTCACGTAAGCCTGCATCTACGCTGAAATTCGTGCCCTAAGACACAGAACTTGCATGCACTCAACTGCAACAACCTCCCCTATGCAGGCCTTTACATTGTGGCAGGAAACCAGCTGAGACCTTGTCATCAGAGGAGACCGGGTTCCTGGGTGACTTTAAGCCTCTTCATCTCTATCGTGTGGGCTGAGGTGAGGAGAGCAAGGAGTAGCCTCTCAACTGTGACCGAGAGTGTGAGCAGCATGAACTTCATCACTGAAGCCACTTCAAGGTGGGTTTAAGACAGTGTCTCATTTTCACTCACTCCAGCAGTCATGGACAAGACGTGGTCCAAACTCCGTTCCTGACCCCCCCCCATCAGCTGAGACGTAGTAGAGTCTGTAAGCCCTTTTTACCTGTTTCAGAACAAAGACAAACAGGCAAAGGAGCTGCTTAAAGGACTCTGATTCTGAAGATATAGCAAGGGCAGTCAGACCCAGGAACATCTGCAACAGCCACATAAACCTGTGCATTGACAGCAGTAGTGATGTGGGTAACTATCAGTAAGGCTGATGCTACAGGTAAAGCCATAAGCAGAAGGACATGAGAAATTAAAGTACAAACAAGCTGTTTCTCCTTCATCCACAGGTACAATTTAGTGATGCCAGAGTGTTGTGCAATGCCTGTGATGCTGATAGAGAGGGAGGCAGGACTGAGCTGGGCAACAAGGCTGATGGCATCCCTGAATCAGGTGACACTGTTGTATCCATAGTCTGGCAAATCATTTAACTCTCCCAGGCTTTGGGCCCCCTTTTGTTCAAGTCTCTCTTCATTACATCCTTAAGACGGGAACTAGACTTGGTCATTGCCCTGCTTTACTGAGTCCTTTATTTTGGCTGGAACTGCTACTGTAATGCAGACAAGCAAAACACAAATGTGAAGTTTTGGTAGTTGTGACTTTTGGGGACATAAATGCACACTGCATTCCCCTGCATCTTGCAGGGGCATCTTGCAGTGGCACAAGACTTACAGCTGCACATCTTTCCTTCAGGCAAATCTGATTTTGTAAGTGAAGTTACATTATTGGGAGTGGGGAGGGAATAATTCTGCAATAAACAAAGACAGACACCAGAAATGGTAAAGCTTTTCGTCAATTTTTGTGTGAAATATACATACAAGCAAATGAAGGCAGTGCAGAGTTGCAGTATGGCCCTGCAACCCTACAGTCATTGGGAAAATAGTGAGGCTCAAGAACAAGGAACATGCTTGGGGTTGGGGGGGCGAAATAAATCACTGAACTGGAATCTGAAATGCTAGGCTCTTCTGTTCAGTATACCATTCCAGCATCCCCAGCCTCCATCAGGATGCCCTGCATGCCATACCAGGCTGAATTCGACCATATGTTTGTTGCTAAGCTATGAAATTCATTTGTCAAGTCCCGGGAGTTTTTGGCAAGTTGTCCTGTACTATATGTGTGGTCTGCTATGCTAAATCAGGCGTGCTGAGCATTGCAGTGGATATGTCTATAGGATCCAGAGGCAACACAGCTGACAATTTCCCTGCTCTGACTTTTAGTGCTGCGTAATAATGAATGGAGATAGAGAGGACTCTAGTCAAAGACATTTCGGCACAATTGCTAGGCTTAAAGCTTACTGAAGTCTGCTGGAATGACTATATGGAGCTATAAATACGTATCTGAGCTCCACGCCAACTGTGTAAACTCAGAAGCTGCCTGCTTCATTCAGGGACTTTATACCTACCAGAGAGTCCAGAGCCTGTAAGACTAGAGGCAAATCAGTGGCTAGCAAGAGTCACATTTTCCTTGTGAAAGGGAATGTGGAAGATGCAAGGACACCACAGGGGAGGATGACGGATGGGAAATGATTTCTCAGGTGTTTTGAAAAGAAAACACATAATCCAGAATAATGGGCCCTCATTAATCAAGCAGAGAAGTTCTGAGGTGCCAAATCTCACAAGAACAGCCAAGGGACTTGGCATCATTAGTAGACTCTTCCTGACTGAACCCTTGGCATAACATTTGCCCAAATTCTAGATCCCAATTCAAATATCACTACCTTGGCTTACGAACAGTTGCCTAGTGGCTCTGATTCAAGCTAATTCACAACAAAAGATAAATCTTTCTGCTCCTAAAGGAAATCTAAAAGCTGCTGAGAAATTCTTTGATTCCTCTGCCTTGTGCTATCTTGGGCCGGTAGCATCTGCAGCAAGAAGAGGTCAGTCCCATTTCTTCACCTCCTGAACCCACATCCCTCTTCCCTGACGTGTAGGTTGCTATGTGCAGTCCTGCCACCATATTTTTTAATAAAGTAAGCAGTGCAGAAAGGAGGCAGAAGTGTCAGAGACACTTCATTAAAGTTTTTGATATATAGCATGAAGATGTCATTTTAACAGAGATTACCAGGCTGCACAACAGGAAAAAGGAGGATCTCTCAGCCTAGAAAGATCATCTCATCTTCAGAAGGAACTTTAGCTTATGAAGGTCAGCAGGTAATATCTAACCTTTTCCATGGTGAAAAGAAGACACATGAAACTGCCATTACATGGAGAAGTACTGAGATTTGTCCATCAGTGAGAATGCAAAGCCAAATCTAAGGCTGCATGCTTATACCACCTCTAGTCTCCCACAGCAACCTAGCTGCCCCTTAAGTTGGGTCCTTGGAGACTCTTCAGTTCTTCTAAGATGTATAAACTCAAATAGCCCAAACCTTGACAGCGTGCACACTTGGGGCTAGATTATCATGAATGCCAAACTATCTCCATTTCAGCTGAAGATGGCAGAAGACACAGGCACACAGTACTCCACGTCCTCCAACCTCAACTGTACATCCAACCTTCAGGTTCCAGAGGACAAATCAAACTCCTCTGCGAAAGCAACATCCTGGCAAAGACAGCCACAGCTTCTCCCAGGTAATTTGGAAGATATCCATGTTTCAAATCTGCCCGCTAAACCAGCCAGAAAATCGTAATAGTGCCATCCAGGAAGGATTTCTCCATAATGTGTAAAATGTATTTTCCTACTTCAGCATTGGAAAATCAGCAGAGGAGATAGAAAGTTTTATAAGGTATATGCCACACTTCAGACCATGCTCTGATAGAGGCAACGCTCCTGAGCAGAAATTCACTTATTTACAGATGGCTTCTAGTGCTATACTGCAGCAGTTGTTTCCCATCTCCCACTCATATTTACATGCTATGTTTCAAACATCCACTGATCCAGGCTGAGGTCATGAGATCCTCTGGGAGAGAACAATAGCCGCTTCCCTGCGCCTGCCCCAGCACAGCGAGGGGGACCAGCAGCGTCAAGGTGGCCCTTCGCGGGGGACAGCTCAGCATCATCCCCGTACATTTGGACCCAGGTACTCACCTAAGAGCTGCACTCCGCGGGTGAGGCCGTAGACATCGATCAAAGCCCAGAGAGGCTCTGCTGTCCTCACCCCGCTGAAGAAGAGCATCGCAGCAGAGTCGTTCACTCGATAGAAAACCCGTCCCTTCTTGTCCACCCAAAAGGCTATGATGTTTCCCTCATTTGCAAACTCTTCTGGCAGAGCCTTGGCCCAAAAACCACTTTGGGAAACCAAGTCGGGGCACGCATACTTCGGCAGAGTGTCAGGGTTAATCCTCGATGGATCCTTAGAAGTAAACCCGAGTCGAAGAGCCCCACTCCAGCAACACTGCTTTTTAGTGATCTGCAAAGATAACAGCAGCAATAACAGCATTTGTCACTTGAACATACATTTACACACTACAGGCTCAATGCCATCAAGCACCAACAGCCACTGTGCAGATGAGCCCACTGGATTTAGGAAGCAATTTACCCACCAAACACTGTTGTAGCTTTTTTAGCTGCAAGCAGCAATGCTGCACACTTAAGATACAATGCACATATTAAAAAAAAAAAATATATATATATATATAATCAAATTAAATCTATTCAAACAGGTGAAATGTAATTACAGCTACATGATGACTCACATCTATTTCTACGGTAATTCCTTTTGGCCTAAGAATCATCCTCTCGCAAAATGTGCCAACAATGGCCATAAGAGCTTTTATCTCAGCACCTGCAGCAGCAGAGCTCTTCTCCTGTGGTGCTCACGTGATGGGATCTCTCACAACCTGAGGCAAAAGCACAGGCTCCAGAATCAGTCACCACCACAGGGTTTTCTGGGTTTCACAGCCAAGTAAAAGACCATCTTACCCCTGTTTAGCTTGTCAGATTGGATGAAAGGACAGCCTTGCAGCAGAGAACTTGTGTGTGGGAAAGCACAATTTAAAGTATTTAACTATATTAAATACACAGTTAGGAGGCAATGATAGATGTTGTCTTATGATTGGGGAAAACTTATTTATTTCAGCCGTGAGTGGTGTTTTTCAAGATAAGTTGTGCACATCTACACCCCACCTGTCACTATTCTGTTACTCAGTGTGTCGGGGGTCAGGACTATCAGCTACAGTTTTGGGGGTGGTATGTGTCATATCCACCCTTCTGCACCTGAGAGACAGCAGGACAAAGGATCACAGATGCCTCTAGAGCCATCAGCTTCTTATCAGATGAACTGAGACTTGGACTGAAGGGGATCTAAAGGGAGCAGGCAGCTGGTCCTAAACATGCATAGCACATCTAAACCAACATCCAGTTACAAGGTCTCTTTCTTCCCACGGAAGCAGGGTTAGTATGGTCCCCAGACAAAGACGATGCCCTTGGAGAATTTGTTCTCTCATTTTGTTGTCTGAGTATGAACCTGCTGGGAGTTGTTTCTCTCAAAGGGATTCAGCCTGTCAGCATCCAGACTATGAAATGAAAGACCTAAGGATGCTGGATTCAATCCTGATGCGGGGCCAGAACAGTTCCTGCATGCCAGTTGACACATAATTGGTGTTTCTGTTCATGTACTGAACCTGCATCAAAAATGAGAGTACTTGAGATAGTCCTCTTCCATCAAAGCCTTGGCAGCCTCAAGCAATTTCACTCTTGGCTGCAGGACGGGACCACCTACCAGATGTCACACAAAACTTGCTACCTTACTGTAATTTCTTGCTCTGTCAAACTGCTAATGGCTCGGATGAGTGGCAATGCCAGAGAGTGAACTATCCAGGACTGCAGGACTTTGTCTTCAAAAGCATTTTCTTTGGACTTTGAAATTCTCTTCTAATCGTATTTGTAAATATTGCATTTTTCTTTCACATGTTGCTCTCCAAGGCACAACAATCAAAAAATTCAAATCCTAGAGATTTCTGTTTTACGTGACATCTGGTAGGTGGTGCCTGGCCAGGATGGGATGGGATGGGGTTATGCATGTCCCCAGCGGAATGGAGGTGGACGGGGCATGCATGTGACAAAACGGGGAACATACGCACACTCCAAGAAGAAGCCTGGATTATTTATTGCAGCAAATTTACTGCAAGCCCTAAAAGCTTTTGGATCTGAAATAAATATGGCCTCATTGTTATTTGTACAATTTACTCTTTCACAGTCTCTCGCCAATACTTCACAGCAATCACAGGCCACATGAAGTAAATATTCATATGGTAATCGAGGCTGCACATGTTCCATGTATTAATCAGCACCTATAAACAGTTCTCAATACAGTCTGACCACAGGCAAACTAATATCCAAATTAAAATCTAGTATAAAGCCTGCCAAGATTTAGACACATCTGGACAAAGGGTACACAGTTTTGCTAAAAAAGGCAATTGTTAACGATGGACCAAATTCTCTCTTCATCAGCCACTGCTAGTAGAAAGGCTTGGGAGGTCCACAGGGTACCAGAAGGGGAAGAAAAGATACAATCTACATCCAAACTGCTAAACCATGGCTGCTTCCACAAATTCAGGCTCCTGCTCTTTACTGCCTTATGTCACCTTTGACGACCTCACTCCACTCACTAGCAGTGCCCTGAATTACATGGAAGAAACCATACTGGGACATATATCTTGGAGGTAAAGAAAAAGAAAATTTGGCTGCCTGATGGTATTCCCAAAGCTGCAAAGGAATCTCAGAATAAAACCCAAGATACAATGCCTAATGAACAGAATGAAATCTCCTCAGTTTTTTCCTCTATTTTTGCAAAGGGAGGTTAGACTTTATAGAACCTGAATGATTGGGTTCATGGTTAGTCTTTAGCTGGTAAGAAGATTTAAGGTGCCATTTTCCACAGACACACACAAGGCAATTGCAGGACGGACTTATGAGAAAAGCAAAGATGTTTTCACATTTCCATCCATCCCTAGAGTACAAGTTCTGCTGAAGGCTGTTGATTATTCCCATGAGACCTTCCTGTTGGATTCCACAGGAGCTCTACTCATAAATCCCTTGTGCAGATTTGCACGCATATTATTCACATATGTTATGCAAACTAAAATCCTAAAATATACAGTGATAAACAAGTGTGAATTTACAGAGATAACTACATTGTTTCAGAATGAGAAAGAAATAACCCAGAACCTTTGCCTAAGCCACTAAACCCACTCAAATCTTTGATGGTGTTTTCAAAAACGAAATGTTGCTTTCATCTCCTCCCAAATCTTTTTTTGCGGTTGTTTGTCCAAACTGCTGGCCAACATGGAAAAAAATCCCATTAGACAACCTGAGTGAGTCCTGCTGGGTTTCTAAGCTGAATTGAAGCAGTAAGAGCTCCACAGGAAAGAAAATCTCTACATTTTCAAAAGAAAGCATCTTTCTAATTTCTTGCTCCTTTGCTGGCAGGGAAGGCTGATACGCTGCTGTAGGTCCTAGAAGTCTGGGACCTCTAGTGATGGGCAACAGAAGGATCATTCATACTCAGAAACTATATGCAGATAAACCTCCTGGAAAACTCCTTGTGCATAAATGAAGGATTTGCAGGCAGATCTTTCATGTATGTCACAGACTAAAGTTGCCAAAGAAGATAGCCTACTTTGTGACAATGAAAGGCATGAAATCAGCTAAGAACAGAAAAATGCAGTCCCACAAACTAGAGGGCATAAAGACTGGAAAATATCTGTGGATGAAGTTTAAAGGGCCCTAACCTCCTTCAGGGTTCTGAGTGCCTAAAAAGTGCTTCAGTTCCAAAGGGGACTGATTAATTTCTTCATCAGAAAGCAGCTCCTGGTGCACATGAAGGCATGCTGTCTTAGAGAAGCTGAAATTCTGTCATGGGTTAACCCCAACCCACAACTAAGCCCCACCCAGGTGGGATGGGGGAGAGATTTGGAAGAGTAACAGTGAGAAAACTCATGGGTTAAGATAAAGACATTTTAATAGGCAAAGCAAAAGCCATGCACACAAGCGAAGCAAAATAAGGAATTCATTTGCCACCTCCCATCAGCAGGCAGGCATTCAACCATCTCCAGGAAAGCAGAGATCCATCACATGTAATAGTTACTTGGGAAGACAAACACCACCAATCCAAAAGTCCCCCTCTCCTTCCTCTTTCCCCAGGGTTTATATGCTGAGAATGACACCATATGGCATGGAATATCCCTTTGCTCAGCTGGGGACAGCTGTCCCAGCTGTGTCCCCTCCCAACTTCTTGTGCACCCCTGGCCCACTCACTGGTGGAGTGGTGTGAGAAGCAGAAAAGGCCTTGACTCTGTAAAAGCTGCTCAGCAGTAACAAAAATATTCCTGTATTATCAACACTGTTTTCAGCACGAATCCAAAACATAGTCCCATACAGGCTACTATGAAGAAAATCAACTCTATCCCAGCCAAAACCAGTACAACTTCCCATACCAGCTGCAGTACAAGGGGTACCAACTCCATCTTCCTGGCTACTACAGACACAAAGGAAGTGAAATCAGCCTCTGCCAGCAAGAAAAATGTGATGCCTGCAATGTTCTTTCCTCTGACATTAATGCTATCAGGCAACTGATTCAACAAAGCTGTCAGCAGACCACCAGAAAGATCCTTTTCTTAGACAGCAACTGTGACAGCACTGACTGCTCCTTTCATCCTTTCAGCCAAACCCTTTTATCTTCCCTGCCAAGCACACGAGCCAGGACCTTCACTTCCAGGTCCTTTTCATCTCTTATGCGTTGGCTGTGGAAAGACAGACTCCCACCTCCGCGAGGAGACCAGCCCTCCTTGCTGCCTTGTTTACAGGAAGGAAAGTGCTCTTTGTGCAGCTGAACAGTTAACTAAATCCTCATCCTTCCTCAGCCCACCCAGTAAAACGCCTTTGCAGGATGCATGGAAAGCCTATAAGACGAATTGACTAGAGAGATACTGAGGCTGCTGCCTTTTGGACTGACCAATACAGCCCTTTTTTCTTGCTTTTTTCCAAGAAATCTCAACTTAATCTCTTGTTCCTTGTCTAACATCAAGATAAGCTCTTTTGGAGGGTGGATTACCCTTTTGTTCCCAGTTTCTGCAGCAGTCTGTACCAATGGCTCCAAGCACTACAGTGACAAAAGCAGAAGTATCAACAAAGATCACAGATCTTTAAGGCCTGGATCTGACTACTTCGATTTCCAAGGAAGGGCTAAAGAATTGGCGCAAGCACCAAAGCCTGGTACACCCCAACACTCATTCACATCAGCTCCCATGGCAATAAGGGAAGGTTATAAGTTACTCACCTTAAGCCTGACTTGTTCATAAATAACGATGGGCCTGTTGCTGAAGGTAATGGCATTGCAGAAGCTAGCCTGGCGTTTCACTGCCTTCTGCGTTGTGTCCATGATGATCTGGGATCCCTTCGTGTGAGGATGGAAAAGCAGAGGGCTGATGGACAGAGCTCCACACTGTGGGATGGGGAGACAGTGCTTCTGCTTGTGGTGGCATCGGTGGGAGGAAGATGAAAACGATCCACCTATGGAATCTGAAAGCAGAATAGGGAAAAAAGGGTATCAGATCTGTTGTGAGTAATAAGTAAAAAACTTCCAATGCAAAAAAAAGCAGTGATACTTTAGAAGGGAAACATAGAACAAAATAAGTCAGTCAATCCTCACTGTGTAAATCACTAAGGGTTTCTAGAGCACCTTGAACAATAAAAGGCTACGAGGATACTGAAGGTTCCCATCTGGACAGCCTGGTAGTACAGAGCACGAGACGGATACCACTCAGCACTGAAATCAAAGACCATCCTTGAGGCCACACATCAGAAGAGAAGTCAAGAATTGGTTCCAAAATTGGAGCAAAGGACATGTGAAGTTGCTGTATCAAAGCTGTCACATTTAGGGGAAAATCTTCTACTTCCAGAGGACTCCCACCCAACCTGACCATTTCTCTCACTCCTCCTTTGCAAAGCAACTCATTGATACTTGCTTTTATGTGTCTTTGGATGCTGTCCTATCCACCCGTGCTAAGTGCCAGCTCACACACATACATTGCTAATTTATACTCAAGTACTACTCAGCAACAACCTACTTGGATTTCTCCACTAACCACCATCCATTCTCCTCTCTTCCACTGATGGGAACCTCACCTGAGATCCCACTTGTCATGAAAGCCTTGATCAGTAGGCTATGATTATGGTGAGGAAAGCAAAGAGGGAGAAAGGCTATGAAGCAGGAAAGAGATTATGTCTTTCTCTAACCAAGGCCCTACACAGCATCAGTGAATGATCAACAGTCACGACAGCAGCTTTGTTCATGAACAAATGGATGCATGAGTTTCTTTTCAAGAGGGAGCCTGCAGCAGTTCAAGCACAAAATAATCATTATACTGAAACACAAGTCATCTGCTTCCTTTTCCTTGTGTGTACACACACACTACATTATGCACATATATTTAGGAGGAGATACTCACAGATTTGGAAACAGAGTATTAACAGAACAAAGGATTATTCCGTGATAGACTCAGGGATGCAACAAAAGCAAATATGACCTTAACCACGTGCCAGTTTGCACTGTAAAGATGTATGACTAAACAGTATGGTTAAAAACTCTATTCCTCAAACACACAAACTATAGAAACTAATTATGTGCATTCTTCATGCAAATTAATTACTGACAGTTATACCTTTATACGCCTACTAAAAATAATGCCTACACCTCTAATGCTACTTTTGGCTTTGTACTAAAAAGCCTGGACCCTATTCTTCCCAGCCTTTAGGGTAGTTTTAGCTGTAGCTACATGAAGTTGTAAGGGCACATCATCAGGGCAAGCTTGAATAACTACAAACAAAACTTAAAATCCTGGTTTCAGATGAGAACATTTTAATTCAACTTCAGCATCAGTCACGCTGGCCTTCTCTCATCTCCTTGATGCTTTTAATCCCAATTTCCCTTGCTGTTTTTATTCCCTTCAGAACAGAGCAGGGAGGCCAGACAAACAGTGTTGTTACCTTTAAACACTTTCTTTAAGGGAGAAATTATTCAACTGGGATTTATTTGATGCTAAAAATTATGTGGAATATAAGTCATCTTCTTTCTCCTGTTCTTCACACATGGAGGAGGAGAAATAAGGTGCAGAGTACCAAGAAAAAGTAGAGATTCACCTAAGCATGCAGGTCAGAGAGGGAAACCTTCAGGAGAAACACACTGTCTGGAAGGGGGAGCTTGACATGGGGAAGGTCAGGATGTAGCAGCTCACATCAGCCTGACCTTTTCCCTTTGGGCACACTACTGACCCAGGTCAGTGCACTCCACTCCTCCCCACAGCCCAGACTGGGTGGTCAGAAGACAACACAAACTGCAACAGCCCCGCAGAGAGAACCTTCTGAGGTTACCTCTTAAGACCTGTTTAATTAGAGGCTGTCTTATGCTCAATAATGGTATTTTAATGGTATTTAATGGTATTTTGAACCCTGAGTATTTCTTTTCACACGGCAAACATGATGTTGCTCACCATCACAAATGATTATGAGCCAGACCGCAAAAGTGGCTGACTTAACCTTGCTCCTCTCCACCTCCCTGGGTGGGTCATACTGGTCTGTAGGGACAAGACCATTGACAGATGGTCAGAGCAAATCATCCTAGCCTTTCTTTTTAGCAGAAATTTTTCAGGCCACTGGATCTCCTCATTGCTCATCTCTTAGCTGCCTCTCTGTTCCTGCTATATCCCCCTTTCATAGGTAGATTAACTAAAAACAAATATCTAGTGTAAAAACTTCCACTTCTAAATGTTTCAGCTTCTCTAAAATGTATATGAAGTTCCAGTCATTTCTGAAACAAGACACATATTGAGGGATATAAATTGTTTTGAAATAATCTAAAGTCAAGGGATCGATAGAAAATTATGAAAAACTTCTTCTGGTTATTTCCAGTCTTGTCCTTTTCGACACCTCTTTTATAGTTTTTAGGGGTCCATATATGTGAAAGGTAAGAAGCTAGCAGTGAATATACATTTATTTCAGGCCATCTTTGCATCCAGATCTGAATTCTGTAGCTCAAACTTTTTGCTAGCAGTCACTCACCAAAACAAACTTGTACAGCGCAAAGGCACACACATTTTAACCTGTTTGCATATCTCAGTGCTCTCATTTTACCAGATAACTTAGCTGTGATAAGAGCTGCTGCACCTCTCCATAGGACATCGAGTCCTTTTAGAATGGAGTCACCAAAACTGCCCACAGCTTTCAAAACAGGCTCTGGTAACAACACTGGCTATGTCCAGAACATCTGCTGGACCAACATTATGGAGCCGTAAGGTCTTGCCTGACCCGAGGGGAAGGTTGTTAGAGAAATGCTCATTTGCTGTGACAGTCCGGAACCGCTGTGTGAGTGTGGGTCAAACCCATGCCAGGCCAACACCCTCAGGACAAGTGCCCTCCACACAGACAGCTGAAGCCCAGGGCAACCATGTTTTACGGGAACAGAAGAAACCACCCCAGGATCAGCTTCCACAGGCAGATAAGGCAAATGGGGAGGAGACTCCTGCATGATGAACACACTCAGGTAAGAACCAGAAGAAGTCTTAATTTTTAAAAATTGCAACTATGTAATAATGGGGGTTTATACCTTACAAATACATGGAGAAGTTACAAAGCAATAGGTCAAATACAAAGGCCTTTGCTCAACTTCTTCAGGGCAGCATGTCCTCTCCAAAAGGTAGAGACACCACGCAAGGACAAACCGCAACAGAAACACATGAGACAGACTTAGGCAAGGAAAGGGACACTTTAGCAACACAAGCTTGTGAGAAGCATTGTTGTCCTTGCTTGGCCAGCTAAAAATAAAATAAATCAACTCCTTAAAGCTTTTGGTCTCACTGGGCTGGACCTGGACTTCAGCCTTCTCCCAACCCCTTGTTTAAGCTACTACACATTTTGACATCCTCAGCCTTTGCTACCAGCAATACTGGTACAATACAGCTCGGTTCCCTGCAGTAGGTTTCAAATTTTTTTTTCTTTATGTAAAAGAATTGAGGGAAACTCACAAACCCAGAGTTTCAGCTGGCAAAAGAGGCAAAGGTCCTCATGATTTCACAGCAACCATGCAAGACTCCATTAACTGAGATTCTGTCCCAGACGACTCCTCTGCCACAACCTGACTTATCAGTCACCTAACAAAGGCAAAGTGGATTAATTGTTTGAAATAAAAATTGAAAGCAAATATTTGAAAGAAGGCTGAAATATGAGAGCATGTTCAAGAGCACTGCAAGTTTCCCATGCCACAACGTAACACAACTTCCCCCTGATAAGCAGGAGTTGTAACAACACACCAGGACTATGCAAACTGTTATCTTGTGACACAAGTCACAAGAGCAAAATCATGCCTGTCTGAAAACAGCCCCTGTGTCAAAGGGCTGCAAATCTAGAGATGCACCATGGACCCCATTCATCTTTCCAAGTTTCACATTGGGGGTCACAAAGAACAGCATCTGCTCACTCCTATGGTTTTAAAGATTGGATAGGCTTCAGTTTTCAGTTCATAACTAACAATAGGTGTTGTCTGAACCATTTCATTCAGTACTGGATTTGAACCCTGAGCACAACCTGCCTCTAATACTATGAGCCCCACCAAGAGAGCAGCAAAAGTGGTAACGTACCACTTGCCCCTCTGAGCCACAAGCACGCGGGCTGGATCCTCTGAACCCTTTAGTAAGACAAGGTGAAGGAGATGCTAACATGAATTGCAATGTGAAGCAGTCTGAACCACTCTGTCTCCAGTGTCCCACGCCTAAGTGCATCCTTTCCAGAACCCTGTGTGAGAAAGCCCCAAAGGTGGCACACTTCTCCCTCCATGTGTGTTACATGTCCCTGGTCTCCAGCACCTCAAGGCCTGAGCAACATCCACATGCTATATAAAAGGCAGCACTAGACGTTCTCAGCTTAGAAAAATGCATCCCAAACACTGTTAGGGGTTCTCACCAGAAGTGTTCGTGCTCTGCAAATGTTAGGCATAATCTTAAAGGCTTGGGATTTCTTAAATGCTGCAAGAAATTACTGGGTTTAATTTTTTTAAAATACATTTTTTCCAGCTAAAAAAATCTTGATAGACACCTATCAGAAAACTGCCAAAACTCATTCCTGACTGAAAACTAGCTGCAAGGTGTTTAAGATAAATTTCTTAGAGCATGTGAAAGAAGTGGCAACCAGAATGGAAAAGAACAGAAAAGACAACTTCAAAACAGAACACAGGGACTGACATGCAGTAGCAAGTAGGAATGACAAATCCCTGTCCACCAGGGGAGGAGGAGAGGAGAGGTCTGGGAGTGGTGACAGAGGTACCTGTCCCACAGGCTAGTGACAGTAAAAAGAGTGAACGGGGCAAAACACCACACTATGAAAGTAGAAAAGGTTTTCAAAATTATATACATTATCAAAAGAAGCTGACAGGCAGTGTTCTATCTGGCAGGTGGCCTTACTGTATCAGCATTTAAAAGGAAGGACTGTAGAGAAGAAAAGGAAGCCATGTGCACGTGTGGGGAATGAAA